CAGCAATATATTACTTTTTACTTCAAAGAGGAAACATTTAACAGTGCAGTAAGATACAGCCCCCAGGTCACACTAGCCTTTCCATGCAAGTGACAAGGTAACATTCACAGTAGCACTCAGTTTAGTAAAAGGCAAAAGTTAAACATATCCCTATTCTTGTAGGCAGATTCTCCCCATGGACCAAAAAGTTTCCATGATCATCATTCTGGTCCTCTTCTTGGTTTCCCATCACACACGGACTTGCCTCTCTACACCCCCTCCCTCCATAAATAACTGTGTGTCTCCCTACGGCTTGGTACTCCGTGTGTCCCTTGGCTGCCACTCCTGTCCTATATATTGGGGCAAGTCTGCCTCCAGCCCTAAACAGGAGCTCATTGAGCACAGGGCCCCTGCTTGGTCATCACAGAAGGGAGCAGATACAAGACTGAACAATTCCATCATGAATGAGCGATGCAGACAGAAGCCTAAATATTCACATCTCTCCAGCTCTCTAGTTTACAAACCACTTCCACAGGCTTTATCTCCTCCTGACTGTACAGGTTCAGACAGGAAGGCATTAAGCGAATCCCTAAATCCACGCAGATAGTAAAACAGATGGCAGTCATCATTTCATTTTCTACCACAGTGACTTCTACAGCATTTAAAAGATGCATCCTAGCCCCCTTCTCCCCCAAATCCCTCCATACCAGATCTCACATTTCTTCTGATTGCTGGGAATACAAAAGAAATAGCAATTCACTTAAATGATGTCCTATTCACGTTTCCCTTACTGAAGTATAAAGCTCTCCACAAGAAGGGACCTTCTCAAATGTATCTCCGCCTCTTCCCCTGGGGCCTGTAGTATTGACTCAGACATGACAGAGGTCCAATAAATATCAATCACTCAACAAAATCTAGCCCTGTAACATCCGATGGGAGCAAGACACTGTGTGTGACACACTTCAGCCCACATGTTCACCAACCAGGTGTAAGCAGAAAGGACAAGGACATTCAAGTGGCTCCTAGGTTCAGCCACAGATCAGGATCAGCCCCCTAGTCAGCTTCTCATTGTCCTGCAGGTCCTCCTCTCCCCAGGCCCCACGTGGAGTAGCCCTCACCAAGGTTGGCAAGCGAGAGCAAGGGGAGGATGGACGGCCCCTGGAGGCTGAAAGTGGGCTTGCGGCCAGCGGTTCACACTGGAGGTGGGAGGATCAAGATGCGGAGAGATCTCAAAGGTACTGAGGAGGGCATCCCAGCAGCCTTGGTAACTGGTCTGGGCTAGAACCCTGAGAAAAGAGTATTGAAGATGAATCTCTTTTCCCCTCTCCCCCAGGCAAAAGGAGTTTGCAAAATCCTAGGAGATAACAGGAGGCTAAACTCAAAGATCAGGTGCACAGACAGGGAAGAGATGCTGTGTGTGACACCAGTGTTTGGTTCACTTTTCTCTCTTCTGTCTCTGGGCTTAACACTGACACAAGGAAATCAAAATTCCCTTTCAAACAAACAGTGCTCCAACACCTGAGCTATATCCCCAGCCCCTTTTTTTCTTTCTATTTTGAGACAAGGTCTTGATAAGTTGCCCACACTGGCCTCCAACTTTGCAATCCTCCTGCCTCAGCCTCCTGAGTAGCTGGGATCACAGGCATGCCCCATTGTGCACAGCCACTACAACTTGTCAGTGTGTATGAGAAAAGGAGGGTTAGGTGTGTTCAACTCCTTATGACTGACCTAACATTCTCTCAGTGGCAAGAGCTTCAACCCATTCCTTATGAACTTGGGAGGAGACACCTGCAGCTTCCACCAGGTCCTTGAGCCTGTGCCCAAGTTCTGCCCATCCACCAAGTTCAGTATCCTGACAACTACTTTGTGCTATATCTAAGAGCCAAGCTCCTCCACTTTGCTGGCCCATCTTTGTGACAGTCTTTAGCCTATATGCCAGTTAAGTCTGCATCACTGACACTGTCCTGATCACTAAAATGGCTCAAACCAGGGGAACAGAGAAACCCTATTCAGTCCGTAGTATCCAGCTATAATTGTCAAATGTTGCTGCTGCTACTCACAATTCCATATTAGCCAAAATCTGCCTGTCACAATCTCTTTATACTAAGGGCTCCTTAAACCCCAGAGTCCAGATCTTGCAGAGTGTTCTGAAATACCCTGTGCCCCATCCCACACACAGGGGGATGACTAAGTTAAACATTTTCCTTTGTCTACTTTCCAAAGCCCCAGTTCTCAAAGTCAGCATGAAGACAGCAATGTGACAATACTGCAACCTATGGGGCTTGGCAGACATATAAATATGGCTTGTGGTTTTCTATCCATGACCAAGATGGCAGCAGCTGTTGCCAGGGAGATGAGGTGATCCCAGTGACTTGGGCAAAAAATCCAGGGATGGGGCCAATGAGGCGGCTCACGTCTGTAATTCTGGCGGCTCAGGAGGCTGAGACAGGAGGACTGTGAGTTCTGCCTCAGCAATGGTGAGGCACTTAGCAATTCAGTGAGACCCTGTCTCTAAATAAAATACAAAACAAGGCTGGGGATGTGGCTCAGTGGTCAAGTGGTCCTGAGTTCAATCCCCAGTACCAAAAAAAAAAAAAAATCCAGGGATGAAAATTTATTTTGTCTGGATCTACCCAAGTACTAGGGTTTCTCTGAAAAGATTTTATACACACAAACACACACACACACACACACAACACTTAGGTCTGAGGGATATGGCTCAGTGGCAGGGCTCTTGTCTATTTTATGCAAGGCCCTGGGTTCCCAGCACTGCAAATTAAAACAATAACAAAAAAAAAAAAACAAAAACAAAAAACTCCTTTAGCATTAAGTCCTCTCCAGGTAGGGAGAAGATGCCCCAGTCCTAAGTCAGGAGAAGGCCAAGGGGCAGGCGGGCTGGAATTCTCAGAAACCTTCCAAGAGTTCACATGCCTCAGGCTATTCAAGAGAGAAAGGCAGGCCACAGCAACCCCCCACCCCCAGCATGAGGCAAACTTTTACCCCGGCAAGGTGTCTCTCCAAGCTGTCATCAGCCCAGTGGCTAAAGTATCACCTTCCCAGCAGAGACACCACCTACCCCAGGCCTAGGGTGCTTAAGCACTCAGCAGGGAATGCTGCTCAGAATGTCAAAAGTCTAGAGCAGCCTGGGGTCCCAAGGAGCACCTCGGGTCAGAATGCCACGTCTGCCAGGCCCAGCCTTCCCACCTCTCTCCTCCAAAGTTCTCTCTACTTTAAAAACAAGATCGTCTTCGCCTGCATTATCTATTTTCCGGAGCTCAGTTTTTTTCTTTCGGCCTTTCTTCGAGGACCTCATAAAACCATGTGAAAGCGCTTTGTAAATTGTGAAACCCTTTCCACAGCTGTGTGTTTTATAATTGATACCACTTTTCCTCTGTTTCAATGCATGAAGAATTTGTCCTCAATGCACGCAGGCAGATTAGGAGTAGGCAGCTTTTACAGACCCCCTCCTCAGATGGAGAGGTATCAACTCACACATCCAACCTCCCCAGCCCCACCAAAAGAATAAAGAATTAAGAACCAGACCTGGGACCAAAACCCAGATTTCTCTGACCATCACATCACCTCCTCTGAAGTCAATTCTGGCTCCTGATCACTCGCCCAGGGCGCACTCCCCAGACAGCGCACCGCCTTCCCTCCCCCCTTTATTGACTGGATCCACCCAGTTTTTTAAAAAAAACTATTTTTTAAGTCAGCATTCCCACCATATGTGGCATTTATTTCCAGGGAAGGCCAGCCCTGGGTTCCCATGGACAGATGTTGCTTTGTGCCTGCCTGAAACGGCTGGCAGCTTTTGCACAGCTGCCCCAAGCAGGTGGCCAAGGATGGAGTTTACCCCTGGCCCAGAAGAGAGAAGGACAATCCCTGCCAAACTCAGGCCTGAGGAGTCCTCTATTCATCCTTCTGCAGCCCAGGACCCCCAAGAAACCCACCCCCACCCAACCGCACATTCTCTCTCTCCCCACCTTGGTTCAGAATCAGACTTCAGGGGGACTGAGAGGCAGGAGCAGGAGATCAAGGTACCCTGGCCCCCGATGCCCTGCCGGCACAGCTAAGCTCAGGAAGGCCCTGAGAGTGGAGAGAAGTCACTGACCCCTTCTATCAGCCATCTGTGAGCTCCAGCTCGATCTAGCTAGCGCGATGGAAGCATAAAGGAGGTCCGGACAGATGGCAAAGCGCTTTAGGAAGGAGGGCTGTACAGGAATGCGAGGGCCCAAGGGAGGCCCGCACTGGGGCATGTTTTGTTATCAGTCGGACGCTAACCTCTTCTATCAATATGCAATCTCAGACTAAAAAGAAGGCAAAAAGTCAGAAGTGGGGTGGGAAGTGGGGGAGAAGACCCTATTTTCTGCCACTTGTCTTTCCCACTTGAAAGTCAGAGCTCTGTGCTGTAACTAAAGTGCGTGCATGCACAGGGGGCGGGAGACTGGCACAACCGAGTCTAAAAATACTCGATAAAAATGCTAATCCCGAAGGCAAAGAAAGAACGAAGAAGGAATCTGTCAATCACCAGGCTCCCGCTCCTCACCCACAGCCCCAGCTGTACCGACTGCATTCCTGTAGAGGAAAGAAGTGGGGGGACAGCACTGAAGAAAAGAAAGGGAGAGACACCACCACCTCCACGAGCGCGGGCCGCCGCGGGGCGGGAGGCGGCGGCGGAGGAGGGGCTCGGCCCGCGGAGCCGAACAAAGCGGGCCTCAACTTGGAGCCCGCAGCTCCAGGAATGGGGGACCAATCCCAGAAGCACCCCCTTTTCCGGAGGTGGAAAACGAATGTGAAGTCTGGAAATCAAAGTGCCGCGTGGAAGCCCCAGGCTCCGAATCTTGGCAAATCCAGAGAAGGTTTTGTTTGGGGTCTCTCCGCTCTCTCCTTGGCCGCACTCACAAGCCCCCCCTTATACACATACACACACGCACTCCTTCTCTTTCTAGCTCAGCCGGGCCGGCCCCGCCGCACCAGGGGGCAGGGCCGGCGCTTCCCCCTGGTCCTCCAGGGGCCCCCACCTGGGGATGGTGATGCACTTGGTGTTGACGTTCTGCGTGGTGATGGCCTTCTCCAGTTCATCCAGCTGCCCCGTCTTCTTAAGCTTCTTGACCAAGCTCTTGACCGCCTTCTCGCACCACTTCTCCTCCTGCCCGTTCTGCTCGCCTTTCTTCCAGCCCAGCAGGCGCTTCACGATCGGCGGGGTGAAGGGCAGGATGGACGACATGGTTGGGGAGGGAACGCAGGCGGAGAGGGGCGCCCCCGGCGGGGCTGAGAGCGGCGGGACGCCGGGGGCGCGGAGCCCGGGCCGGCCGCGCAGCCCAAACTTCGCCTCAACTCTCGGCGAACTTGCCGGTGCGCTGGGCCGGGCCGCGGCGTTGCAGCCTGCGGGTCTCGGCGCGCGGCCCTGTGCCTGAGCGGCTCCCGCGACAAGGAGAAGAGCTGCGCGGGGCGGACGGGCCGGCGGACGGCAGCGGCGCGGGATCGAGAAGGCCCCAATCGCGGGGCGGAGGCGGCGGCCGCGAGGCTCGGAGTGGCAGCAGAAAGTTTGGGTTTCCGCACGGAGTGGCTGTTTGGGTGCCGCCTCCGGGAAAGAAAGTCCAGCCCCCAGCCAAACTTTGCTCGCCTTGCTCGCTTTGATGCGCAGATCCCTCCGCCTCTGCGGCCTCGCCTCCCCGCTGCCCTCCTCCTCCTCCTCCTGCCGGCTCGCTCGCTCGCTGGGCAGGTCCCGGGCGTGCGCCGCGCTCCCGCTCCCGCTCCCGCCCGCTCCCAGTCTATGTTTCATGCAAATCCGCGTGCAGCCTCCTTTCCAAGCGCTGTCACCGCCCCCTCGCCGCCGGGGCTCCCCGCCTCCTCCCCCGCGCCCCGCCGCCTCCTCCCCCGGGCGCCCTGCCCGCCCCCAGCTCCGGGGAGGACACCCGCCTGCCCCCGCCCTGCGCCCAACACGCCCACGTGGGCGACCCGGCACTGCTGAGGCCCCGGCCCGAAGCCGTGCAGGCGTGGAGAGGAAGTTCTGGGAGTGGGGTGGCGAGAGGGGCCCCTGGCGGGCAGGCAGAGCTCGGGCCTCGCGTCCGCTCTGGGATCCCAGGCTGAAGAAGCTCCGTGGCAGTTGCGGGCCGGAGAGGGTTAGACTCGGCTGGCGGCGGTGCCCCCAGAAGATCCGGACCCAAGACGCGGCGCACGCGGAAGGTTGGAGGCCCTGGAAGTCGGGGCGCGCTGATCCCGGTCTGGGGCCTTGGCTGGCGCCAACGACCTGGGGGCTGTTTTTATTTTCTCAGCGATGAGATCACTCCGACTGACAGCCCCGAAGCTGTGTGCGGAGGAGGGAGTTGGAAGGGGGAAAAGTAGACTTTTAAAAGTGGAGTATTGGGTACCCCAGTGACAATCTGAACAATAGCTGGAGCCAGGGGTCTCTTGGGCCCTGTGAGCCAAGCACTTGTTAGAAAATGGGCCTCGGAGACATCCGTTGAGTTCAGGAAGAAATGAAGGGGGGGGGACGATTTAGAATTTATTTGGGGGAAAATTTAAGGGGTATTAGAAAAACTCGTGATACAGAAAGATCCGAAATTCGATACCAAATAACTAGGAAAGGGAACTTTGTTTCCAAACCAATGAACAAAAAAGTGGGGGGCAGAGAATACTACTTGGAAGTTGATGTGTTTTTAAGTTAGCTTAGGTGGGAAGCCCAGAAACCGTGGCACGTTGGAGAGCTGTGGGGCTTTTCTCCCACCAGCAGAATTCAGGGGCCTCTGCCCACAGGCCCCCCAGCGCCTTCCTCCTACCGCCTCCCCTATCAGGCAGCCGGCGGCTTAGGCTTTTGTTTGTTTTTAACAGCAGGAAACCCCCCATGGTGAGAAAGAAGTTATCTCCAAACCCTGGTGCCGGTGGGGAGTTACAAAGCCCTGTGAGGTGTGGCCGGATCCACAAAGTCAGCTCAGAAGCTGCAGGGGACTTGCCCTTTCACAGAGGATGGCCTCCCACTAGCTGTCAGGGGCGGCCGCTTCTCTTTCCCCTCTGAACTCCCTGCTTGCTGGGACCTGAAAGGAGAAATCTTAAGCCTCATCGAAGCTGGTTCCAGCGCTGCTGATCCTATTTGTTGGTGGCAGCTGTAGTCTTGCGTTTTGCTGTCCTATTCCCAGCCCTTAGGAAGAGAGATCAGGATAGAAGGCAGTTGACATTTATTAATTGCCGTCTTCATTCCAGATAGCCCAAGTGCTGCCCTCTGAAGTAATCTGCACAGTAGTCCCTGAAGTAGATGTCCTTATTCTTCACATCTATGAATGAGGCACCTGAGACACGGAGAGATTTCTGGACTTCTGGGGATCCCACATGGCAGAGCTGGGGCTTAAGCTCAGGACTTTGTGAGGCCTTATTCCGAAATTGCCATTGCACCCAGCTGCCTCATAGAGCAAGGCAGAGGTGACTTTGTTAAGAGAGCTCTTTGCAAAACAAAAGTTCTTTATCCAGGCACACTATTGTGAGAGCTTAAGAAATGTTTGCTTGTGGTGACATGGGCTACAAATAGCTTTCCTCACAGCCTCCTAGGTCTGCTGTGGGACCCTAATGTGAAAGCCTCACTGAAAGAGAACCAGCAGCTGTGGAGTAGTAGACCACACCTTGGGACCCAGGAGTGGTGTGGTGCAGGGAGCCGAGTTCAGGCTAAGGCATCTATGGAGCATCTCAATGCAGCCCTCCTGCTCAGGTCTGGGAACTCTGAAAGATACCAGGGGACCTAGGGAAGCACCAAGGAGTGGGGTCAGGGTGTGCCTGAGTGGGCAGAGGATACAGAGGGGACCCTTGCAGTCATCATCTTGCAGACAATGGTTAATTTTAACCCAAACCTCAAATCCAGCAAGGCCAGCCCTTGAGAGTCAGCCAGAATACAAGTTCAGGCTCCATCACCAACTAATGTGGCTTTGGATCCTGGCTCTTTTCCTCCTTCACTTTGCTGAGCATGTGTTCTCTCAGCTGTAAGAATGGAACTAAGGATTCTTATGGTGCATAGTGGTGAATTCAGAAAGAGAATCATACGCATCCTGCTCCAGTGCAACCCCTCATCTTACACAAAAGAGAGCCAGTTTGCACTAGGGAGGGAAGCAGCCCAAGAGAGATTCAAGGATTAAATGGAGTGGAAGGGCCTGATGTGTACCTCACCTTCTAAACTCATGGCATTGGAAGGGGCCTTGTTCAAGCCCCTCATTTTCCTGAGGGGAGGAAAAAACTAGTCAGCCAACTAGTTAGTGTGACTGAACCATGCATGCTTTCCCACATTTCCTTTCCAAGGCAGCATTGTTGTGACAGGGTCTGCTGGGTGTGCAGAAAAATAAAAAGCTGGACCCACATGGGAATCTGATGGTGCTGTCTCTGGGCTAGTTCTTTCTCCTCCAGTGAGAAAAGTTGAATAAGCCCAGTGTCACAAAGCCCCCTAGGAAGAGTAAGAAGTTACTTTTTCTCAGTTCCAAGAGACCCTTACATGCCCTCCCCAGTTTGGGTGATAATGGGTAAGTGGCTACTGATGGATGCAACTCTGTTCTGGCGCCTGGTTTCCTGGGGCCCAGCCAGTCCTGCTTTGCAGAGGTTGTCCTTGTCCTTGGAAGGGAAACATTAGCCCAGTTAATTTTTCATCATGGTAAGTGCAAAGTTCAGGAGAGGTGGGATGGGGGTGGAGGCACAGCTCTGTCTCCCTGGGAATAGTCAGCCCTATCAGGAGCCTCCAGACAGACATGCCAAAGCATGTTTGGAGCAGCTCCCAGGTGGAACCCTGGAGAGAAACGAACACCTGACTTGGGTTATGTTTTTTTCCCATTAGCCAAAGGGTGTTTAATCAGCAAGTGGTGAGTCTAGAAAGAACATTGGGATCATTCTGTCTTCATTTTACAGAGACAGAAAGGGATATCTGAGGAAGGGAGGTGAGCAGGTTGGAACTAGAACTCTCCTGAGCGTGTCCTCACCCAGAAGAGGGCCTCTACCTACAGCCAGGTCTCTGTAGCTCTTTATAGCACCTTACCCAGTGGACTCTCCTGGTACCAGACAACCTGGGTTAAACTTCCATCTTCACCACTTCCAGCTGTGTAACTTAACTCTTATGTGTCAGTTTCCTCGACCATATAATGGGAATGGTAATAAAATTGCTTCTTAGATTATGCGTGGAATCAAATTAAATTGGCTGTGTCAAGAGCACATAGTAGGTTCTCAACATACATGGATATTGCTGATGCATAGGATAGAGCATCATACAAGAACTAGAAGTTTCATGTACATAAGACAAATGAATGATTCCTAAAAACAGTTTGGAGGGAAAATAGCCACAGTGAAATGAATAGCGTAATGCCACCTGGGTAAAACATCACATACAGGCCTGGGGCTGTGGCTTAGTAGTAGAGCACTTGCCTAACACATGTGAGGCACTGGGTTCAATCCTCAGCACCACATAAAAAAAAATAAATGAATCAATAAAATAAAGGTATGGTGTCTATAACTAAAAAAAATCATGTGCAAAACAACAATGCATATTTTGAAAGAAGTCATACAAACAAGAAGTAAACACACATTGAGATGGCTATTTTTAAAAAATAAAATAACAATTGTTGTAGAAGATGTAAGGAAATTGGAACTCTTACTCATTGCTGGTAGGAATGTAAAATAGTGCTTGCCTCTGTGTATGGTACTTCCTCAAAAAATTCATTAGGATCACTATATGATCCCTCTATGATCCAGCAACATGTGGGTATATACATAAAAGAAGTGAAAGCAGGTGCTCAAAGGTATCTGTGCATGCCATGTTCAGAGCAGCATTGTTCACAATAGCCTCAGGTGGAAACAACAATAGCCACAGGTTGAAATGCATTAAGAAAAATGTTTCTGCAACCAATGAAATATGTGGTGTATACATACAACAAGATTCCGATTAGTGCTACGACATGGATAAACCTTGAAAACATTATGCTAAAAGAAATAAACCAGTCACAAAAAGATTTAAAAGTCTAATTTCACTTACAGACGTACCTAGAATAGTACCCAGGGGAGCTTAACCAGTGAGCTTCATCCCCAGCCATTTTTGTATTCTATTTAGAAACAGGGCCTCACTAAGCTGTTTAGGGCCTTGCTGAATTGCTGAGACTGGCTTTGAACTTGCAATCCTCCTGCCTCAGCTTCCCAAGCCACTGGGAATACAGGCGTATGCCATTGCACCCAGCCAAGAGTAGTCAGATTCTTAGAGACAGTGTAGATGGAAGTCTGAGGGGTCTGAGGGGAAGGGGAATGCGGAGTTGTGGTTGAATGGATGTGGAATTTCAGTTGGGGAATGTGAAAAAGTTCTGGGGGTGGATAGTGGGAATTCTCAAAAAACAATGTGATTGTATTTACTGCCACAGGACTGTACACTTAAAATGATAAACTTTATACACTTTTGCCTCAGTAAAAA